TTCCTTAAGTAACTCGAACGCCGCTTGACACTTCTCGTCCCAAACAAATGCCTTCCCTTTTTGTAACAGCTGTGTCATGGGTCTTGCAATACCGGAGAAACCTTCCACGAACCGCCGATAATAACCAGCCAATCCCAAGAAACTCCGCACTTCCGGGACGTTCTTGGGTGGCGCCCAATTAGTCACAGCTTCTATCTTCTTGGGATCCACCTCAACTCCTCGCCCGGAAACGACATGCCCCAAAAACAAGACCTCTTCTAGCCAAAACTCACACTTGGAGAACTTGGCATACAGTTTCTCCTCTTTCAACCTCTGGAGGACCATCCTCAAATGCTGCTCATGCTCCTCCTGACTCCTAGAGTATATTAGGATGTCATCGATGAAAACAATGACAAACTTGTCCAAATACTCATGGAGGACTCGATTCATTAAGGCCATGAAGGCGGCTGGAGCATTGGTCAGCCCAAACGGCATAACCAAAAACTCGTAGTGTCCATACCGAGTACGGAAGACAGTCTTAGGGATGGAACTGTCTGCCACCCTCAGCTGATGGTAGCCAGATCTTAAATCGATCTTTGAGAACACCTTTGCTCCTTGAAGCTGATCGAAGAGGTCGTCTATCCTCGGTAGAGGATAGCGGTTCTTGATGGTGGCCTTATTCAGTTTTCGGTAGTCGATGCACAATCTCATTGTGGCATCCTTCTTCTTTACAAACAACACGGGGGCTCCCCATGGCGATACACTAGGACGTATGAAGCCCTTGTCTAGCAGCTCTTGCAACTGTTCCTTCAACTCCTTCAACTCCACTGGTGCCATCCGGTAAGGGGGAATGGATATAGGTGCCGTTCCCGGGATCACTTCGATGTCAAACTCCACCTCCCTAGGTGGCGGCAACCCAGGGAGATCCTCCGGAAATACCTCGGGATACTCCCTTACAACAGGGACATCCCCCAACTTCTTCTCTTGTATCACCTTGACATGACACAGATAGGCTTCACATCCTTCTTGGATTAGGGTGAAGGCTTTTACTACAGAAATCAGGCTTCCAGGGATCATCTTCTTCGTCCCCTTGAATAAAGCGGTGCCCTTGCCCTCAATTTCGAAGCTAACTTCCTTCCTATAACAATCTACCTTTGCCCGGTTCTTGGATAACCAGTCCATACCCAAGATAACATCGAACTCACCAAAGGGCAGTAGAACCAAATTGGCCTCGAGCTCATGTCCGGCTACTGTAACTGGACAATCGCGGATGGTCGAGTCTACAATCAATTGCTCTCCTACTGGGGTGCTTACCCCTAGATTTTGGCCTAACTTCACATGAGGCAACTCTAAAGCTCTCGCAAACTTGGTCGAAACAAAAGAATGCGTGGAACCGGAATCAATAAGGACAAAAGCAGGGTACTTGTAAAGGTAAATCATACCAGTCACCACCTCAGGTGCTGCATCCGCTTCCTCTCTCCTCATGGCAAAAAGCCTCGGTTGTCCCCCTGTTGGAGGCCCCTGGTTTCTGCCTCGATCGTTGCGGTCAAATCGCCCAGTACTCCCTCCCTGACTGCGAATAGAGCGGCTTTGCTGACCACCAAACTGAGGTACTGTGTAAGTCCTTCCTCCTCCGCCTCTGACCGACTGTTCAGATGGTGCTCTCCCTTGCCCGCCTCTCCTGGGACACTCTCTGGCAAAATGACCCGGCTCGTTGCAGTAGTAGCAGACTCCTAAATGTTGTTTGCATACCCCGGAGTGGTCCCTCCCGCACTGATTGCAGGGAAACCTGTTGCTGAAGGTTTGACCAGGTCGAACCGAACCGCTTTGACTTTGAGTGCCCCCAAAATTAAAGGTACCACTCGGCCTCCTCCTGAACTGACTCGACTGGCCAGCTCCCTCAGGCATGCTACTTGCCTTCCTCTTGCTATTCTCTCGTTGCACCGCTTCTTCATGTGAGGTTGCCTCGGCCCTCTCTATTCGGAGAGCCGCCTGATAAATTTCCTCTCTGTTGTTCCACATCAGCATACTCAACTGCTTCTTAAGGGCAGGCTTCAGACTCTCTAAATAGTGGACACGCTGGGCTGCCTCCCCTTGGAATTGGGGTCCTCCATAGGGCAGTAGCTTCTCGAACCGCGAGGTATACTCCGCAATGCCCTCCTTGCCTTCATTGCCCCACCTCTGCTTGATCAATATGAACTCCCTCTGCTTGCCGAGACGGTAGGCCTCGGGCACAAAATGGTCGCGGAATATCTGCACCAGCTCTGGCCAGGTGATGGCTGGTGGGTCCACTCGACTGGCTGGTTGGGTGGTCCACCAATTGTATGCCGCTTCTAGCAGTAGGGATACCATCAGCAGTACCCTATCCTCATCATCTGCCCGCATTTCGTTCAACGTGCGCGTGACCTTCGCCAGCCCTTTCTCCACCTCACTTGCATCCGTCGAGCGATCCCCATCAAAGTCTACTACTCCACTCCTCCGGAAAGCTATGTAATCCGGGGGGTTCCTAGCCGCCACGGGATTAACATGAACGTTACTTGCTCTGCCAGTAAGTAGTACCCTTGTTAGAACCACATTTATTTGTCTTATCACGCTTGAGTATACTGGAAACTCTATAAACCTCTTCAAATCGGTTGGCCAACCATTTTTTTTCAGAAAATTCCCTTCCCCCGTTAAAACTTAACCTTTCAAAACTCAGATCATCATTCCAGTATTTCTTGGAGACCAAGAAACAGAGGAATGCCGGTTCTGATACCAAAATGAAACAACCCGATCTTTTTGGACAAATCAAACCAAAACTTTAAAACAAAAACCGGTTACTCCGGAGCAACCCAAACCATATTTTTAAGTCAAACCAAAAATCAACCAACGACAATAACCCAAAAATCTCAAACGAAAGGCCCTAAACAGTTGGGCAAATCTCAATCCGAACACTTGAACCGAAAACCTGAGTTTCCCAGTATACTCATAGAACAGGAAATAAAGACAAATATGATAAAAAGGGTCTCATCTCAATACCCTGATCCTTCCGACATCATCAAGCTTGACGCGGCTGCCCTCCTTGATTAATCTCCTGGTGTTGGTTATGTTCTCTTCCCCTTTCCAAACCTGGTGAGTGAGAAGGGGTCAGTCTCGTCGTTACTTTCTAAGGTCTTTGCCTAAGCAAGCCCTACTAACACATTATTAGAAATTACTTCTTCCTACATGAAAGCCGTTTTCGCTTCCATCCTTAATATTTTAGTCTCTAATAGCTTATAGAAGTTCCGTACTTCTATTTTAATTTATATACTTATCATTTGGGTTCACCGCGTTACGTATCGTCGTCCGGTGTCCCTATCCTTAAGGCAATGGTACTGCGTTACGTATCGCCGTCCAGTCCATGCCTGGTCAACTACTGCGTTACGTATCGTCGTCCAGTAGTGACCTGACCATCTACCGCGTCCAGTAGTGGCCCAACCGCCCGGGGGTTCATCTTACCATCAACCACACATCATAAACACACACATACATAGCACAACGCGTGCCTCCACCTTAAGTAGGCGGTGGGATGCCTCACACACACAATCACGCTTACTTGAAAATTAAATAACATAACTGAATTAAAAAGGCATAAACTAAAAGACCTCGACGGAGATTTTACCCCCTTTACACTCACCTCGACACGACGATTCTCCGACCCTTAGCCTGAAGACCTCCTTCCTCCGCGTACTATCTCGATACCCTATAAACCACACCACCCTTTTAGAAATAACCATTTTCCCTATATACTTTCGCCTACCGATAATTTTTTTTTGAATAAGTCAATCCTCTTGAAAGTCCCAATCAACAATTTTTCCTAATATACTAGAAGTACTAATCCATAGAAAAATTACCCAATTTTCCAAAAATGCCTCATAACTTTCGATTTAATAGATATACGCGCCTAAATGATTATAAAAAATAATAATTAGCCTTTAAAAATCTCAAAATAAATTCCCAGTCCTCTAGGGACCTTCTTCAAATTTCTAAAATTATTAAACCAATTTTCTCCATCCAATAAGGGTGCCGAATAAATAAAAATTGCTTAAAATGTTATTCTGGAATTTTTGATGTTTTAGCGACCATTACTATTCGTCACGAAAAGCCCAGAAAATCCGTCACTAAATCCCCTGACTTGAAAATACCCGAAAACTCACATGAAACCAAGCCTAATTCGAAGGCGACTGTGTTTCCATACCTCCAAAGTGTGCCTAGACCCTAATGAATCGATTAGAATGAAGGCTCCTTAAATCAACTCGCCCTACTCCTCAAAAAAAAAAAATCCTTAATCACCTCCAACTTCAAGATTTGACAATCTAAAGTTAATACTAGCGGTTAAACGAACGTCGGAACGACAAGAACCGAGCATCCTTACCTTCCTAAGACGTATGAAGGATGAGAAGTTGAGAGGAACGGCGGGTTGAGAGGAACGACCGCCTTCTCCTTTCTTTCCTTTGTTCCTTTCTTCTACCGCTACTAATGGGGGGTTTTGGATCGTTGGTGGGGGTGGGATGCTGATGGGTTAATTACATATAAGGGGGCAATGCAGATTTATTAGGGAGGTGGGTTTCTTTGATTTAATAATGCTGATCACTAATAATAATGAAGAGGAATGAGGAAGATGAATGGTGGTTTTACTGGTGGAGTGATAATGATGAGTCTAAATGGGGAGATGAGAATTGTCCCATGAATTGGGACGTGCAGAAGATGATGATAAAAATAAAAATAAAAATAATTCATAATAATGTTATTATTATTAGTAGAGTATTATAGTTCTTGCTTCACGGTTGCATCTTTTTGTATGAAATCGACGATCCAACTATTCGGTCGAACCTAAACTTCAAATGTCGGGGTGTTACAAAAGTCTTAGGTAATTAATGGGTTCTAAAAACGAAACGGAAACCTGTTGGTGCAATCGAAAGGTTCCGAGCTCGCCTAGTAGTTAAGGGCTACAGGCAGAGAGAGAATATAGATTTCTTCGATACCTATTCACCAGTATCAAGAATAACATCCATTCATGTAATGATTGCTCTTGGTGCCTTGAACAATCTCGTGGTACACCAAATGGATGTTAAGACCGCTTTTTTGAACGGTGATCTGGATGAAGAAATCTATATGGAACAACCATAAGGGTTTGTTATCCCCGAACATGCCTCGAAAGTCTGTAAGTTAGACAAATCATTATATGGTTCGAAACAGGCTCCAAAACAGTGGCATGAGAAGTTTGACACTCTCGTTCTCTCACATGGCTTTAAAGTTAATGAAAGTGACAAGTGTATTTACTGCAAGTCAGAAAATAACACTTGCACTATCATATGTTTGTATGTAGATGACATGTTGATATTTGGTACAAATATTCACGTGATCAATGAAGCAAAAGCCATGTTGAAAGAGAGATTTGAGGTTAAAGATCTTGGAGAAGCAAAGTTTATGCTTGGAATCCAGATAACTAGAACAGCAAATGGTTATTCTTTAGATCAATCTAGCTACATAGAGAAGATCTTGAAGAAATATAACTATTTCGACTGTAAACCTGCGTGTACTCCGTATGATGCTAGTGTAAAGCTATTTAAGACCACTGGAGACAGTGTAAGACAATCAGAATATGCTAGCATCATTGGCAGTCTCCGTTATGCAGCGGATTACACTCAACCAGACATTGCATATGTCGTGGGATTGCTTGGCAGGTTTAACAGCTATCCTAGTAGAGAGCATTGGAATGCTATAGAGAGGGTCATGAGATACCTCAAGAGAACAGCAAACCTTGGTATACACTATCAAAGGTTTCCTGCTGTACTAGAAGGGTATAGTGATGCGGATTGGAATACCCTATTAGATGACTCCAAGGCAACCAGCGGGTATGTTTTTAGCATCGCTGGTGGAGCTGTGTCTTGGAAGTCAAAGAAACAAACAATCCTAGCTCAATCAACTATGGAATCACAGATGATAGCACTAGCAACGGCTAGTGAAGAAGCAAGTTGGTTGAGAGGATTGTTGTCAGAGATTACCCTATGGGAAAGGCCGGTCCCTCAGGTATTGATCCATTGTGATAGTGCCGCAGCTATCGCTAAAGTTGAGAACCGGTTCTATAACGGAAAGAAACGAAAGATTCGTCGTAAGCACAGTACTGTAAGAGAACTCCTAACGATAGGAGCAGTGAGGGTGGATCATATAAGATCCGAACAGAATCTAGCTGATCCTTTGACGAAAGGATTACCTAGAGAGAAAGTCCAAAATACCGCCAAGGATATGGGACTTATGCCTACCGAACCATGGACTACAAGTGATGGTAACCCGACCCAATAGACTGGAGATCCCAAGAAATGGGTTCAATGGGTAATAACAAGTCATGAGTAGTATGCGAAAAGTTCATGCATAGTGAAGCATGAATCCCAAAGCAATAGAGGTTGAGTTAATAACTCTTAATGAGATCTATACCCTATGTGGGGTGGAGTACTTTACTTTGGGGGTACTCCTGATAGACTCACCTATGTGAATGTGGGAGTGGGGCCGCTCCCTATGGAACTTTGGAGGCACAAAGTTACTAGAGAGTTCACTAAACCAGGATAACGTGCATGGCCATAAACGCACGGGCTATGAAGAGAACACAACTCAATGAAAAGATCCGGTGTGCTACACTGTCTGAGATAAGGTTCAAAACTACGAGTCACCCTTATGAAATCGGAAGTGTAACCACTACGCTAAAGTTCAAATCTTCGCGATACCTTAGCTTATGCCCGATCTTATGGAACTGTTGATGCTCAGAGATAGTTTCAAAACTATTCAAATGGGGGATTGTTGGAAATGTATCTGAATAGCTTTGAAAGCTATAGAGTCTCAAGTGGAAAAACTACCACATTGGTAGTTTTACTTGGTGAAATGGGTATAAAGATAGGAGCCTCTCTCCTAAGGGCATGCGCCTTGGGGTGACCCGCTTTTGTGGGAGAGGGAGGACCTAACAGACCACCATACACACGCGCGCTCGCCGTCTGTCCGTCCGTCCGACCGGCCGGTCGGTCGGTTGGTTGGTTCACTTGAGACTACATATATTTTTTTTTGGAGAAATTACGAACGAAATTAATTATCTAATAATTAATTATTAATCGGTTATTCTGAGGAATATTCTAAGGATAATCGACTAAAAAGGAATATTCGAAGGATAATCCCTACGGGTTTATCTTAACCGACGGTTTTAATTAAGGAAGTAATTATCTTCCTTAATTAATCCGACTTATTCCCCAAGCAAGAGGGTATATTCCTAGGGGTTCGGCTCCTATAAATAGCCCCCTCCCCAACCCCTCTAAACACATCACAACGAGCATAAACACAATAGAGAGAGTGTTCAAAGAGCTCTGGTTTTCGCACAAAACCGCGAGTATTGAGAGGAGCTATTTTATCCTGGAGACGACCGGTTGATAGTCTGCCGTGCGCATCGAAGGCAGTGCCGCGAACGTCTTAAAGAGAGTGACCTAGTCCGCAACTCAGCTCCATATTCGGTAACCTCGTTCTTCTTGTTGTTCCGTTCCTAACACCTTTGACTTCCAAACAAACGATTAACAAACACGGTCCACACCTCTTTGAACAAAGTTCAAACAAGGGTGTTCGATGTTCTTGATGATCTACGGGGCAAACTAAATTATATTAACTCTACTCCTATGGAGGTTCAGTGAGAGCTCCGAAACTACAACTATGGCTATGACTACATTTGCAGAGGAAAAGGTAAAGATAAAATGATAAAATCTGACATTGTGTTGTCTGGTGTGATTTTGGCGAACCCTTTCTCAGTCATCTTCACCTCCTATTTATAGCCACCAAAAGTAACTGCCCCAAGAAACTGCTCTGCTGACGTGGAGTGACAGTTACCCACTCAACTGCTATGACGGCTACCCTGATGTTAGATGTGGGATCCTCTTCAGTCTTGACTTCCTCCTCTTGAGACCTCAACCTCTGCTCTTGGCATCTCCTTCGTAGTTTTGCTTAACCATTGAGTAAAAATGGCTAAGGCATAAAGAAATACCACTTATCACATATGGGTGGGTATTTGAATAACATGAGTTAAAAATGGCAAAGAGTACTTCACCATTAGTAGAGTAAAGAGACCACCTGCTCACATGACCCCTTTTCCTTGGCCATACCATGGGGGTTTACATTGGTGACCCCCTCACCATACCATTGGGCATCCTCCATGGGGGTCATATGGATCACCCCCGCCACTATATCATCCTCATGGGAGTCGGCGTTAGTGACCCCCCACCCCCTGCTCATACCATGGGGGTGGTACGTTGGTGGTCCACAGACCACCTCATGGGGGTTCTCCTTCCACCCTCATCATCTTCCATGTCATGGGGGTGGCGGTATGATGTCCACCCCCCTTGCCATGTCCTGGGGTGGTGGTATGATGATGGTCACCCCCCTTGGTACCTCCTGGGGGTGGTGGTATGATGCCCACCCCCCTCACCACGTCCTGGGGGTGGTATGATGGTGGCCACCCCCCTTTGTACCTCCTGGGGGTGGCTACCATACTCCTTGCCTTAGCCAAATTCGGCCATCACCCCCCTCACCACGTCCTGGGGGTGGTACTATGGTGGCCACCCCCTTTGGTACCTCCTGGGGGTGGTATGATGATGGTCACCCCCCTTGGTACCTCCTGGGGGTGGTGGTATGATGCCCACCCCCCTTTGTACCTCCTGGGGGTGGCTACCATACTCCTTTCCTTAGCCAAATTCGGCCATCACCCCACTCACCATGTCATGGGGGTGGCGGTATGATGTCCACCCTCTTGCCATGTCCTGGGGGTGGTGGTATGATGCCCACCCCCCTCTGCGTGTCACGGGGGTGGCTCTCATACTTAGTCAAATTTGGATATGCATGGCGTGCGTGGTGGCACGGAGTAATGGGCCCAAAAACCCAATTCTCATGGCCCACTCAACTGATTTAAACTGATATGATTAAGTTGGTCTTATAAAGCCATTTAATTCCTTATTTTTAACCGATGTAGTACAAAGTTAATTTTTATGGGTAAACAATAATGTAGGTGGGATTTAAATAAAATAATTCCATTTCTCACTGATTTCAGAAATTGAAGTTTAGCACGAGTGTTCACCATATGTATGTTGAAGTTAGGTTTTTTCGCATCGGTTGCTGGAAACCACATGCTACTGTTGCCACCGCTTGTTGTTGGAAATGTATATGAATACCTTTGAAAGCTATAGAGTCTCAAGTGGAAAAACTACCACATTGTTAGTTTTACTTGGTGAAATGTGAATAAAGATATGAGCCTCTCTCCTAAGGGCATGCCCCTTGGGGTGACCCACTTTCGTGGGAGAGAGAGGACCTAATGGACCACCACACACACGCGCGCCGTCCGACCGGCCGGTTGGTTGGTTCACTTGAGACTATATATATATTTTTGGAGAAATTCCGAACGAAATTAATTATCTAATAATTAATTATTAATCGGTTATTCTAAGGAATATTCTAAGGATAATCGAGTAAAAATGGAATATTCGAAGAATAATCCCGCTGGGTTTATCTTAACCTACGGTTTTAATTAAGAAAGTAATTATCTTACTTAATTAATCCGACTTATTCCCCAAGCAAGAGGGTATATTCCTAGTGGTTCGGCTCCTATAAATAGCCGCCTCCCCAGCCCCTCTAAACACACCACAACGAGCATAAACACAATAGAGAGAGTGCTTAGAGAACTCGGGTTTTTGCACAAAACCCCGAGTATTGAGAGGAGCTATTTTATCCTGGAGACGATCGGTTGATAGTCTGCTGTGCGCATCGAGGGAAGTGTCGTGAACGTCTTAAAGAGAGCGACAACAAACACACGCGCGCGCGCCGTCCTTCCGGCTTTTGGTTGGTTCACTTGAGACTATATATATATTTTTGGAGAAATTCCGAACGAAATTAATTATCTAATAATTAATTATTAATCGGTTATTTTGAGGAATATTCTAGGGATAATCGACTAAAAAAGGAATATTCGAAGGATAATCCCGCTGGGTTTATCTTAACCGACGGTTTTAATTAAGAAAGTAATTATCTTCCTTAATTAATCCGACTTATTCCCCAAGCAAGAGGGTATATTCCTAGTGGTTCGGCTCCTATAAATAGCCGCCTCCCCAGCCCCTCTAAACACACCACAACGAGCATAAACACAATAGAGAGAGTGTTCAGAGAACTCGGGTTTTCGCACAAAACCCCGAGTATTGAGAGGAGCTATTTTATCCTGGAGACGACCGGTTGATAGTCCGCTGTGCGCATCGAGGGCAGTGCCGTGAACGTCTTAAAGCGAGCGACAACACACACACGCGCGCGCGCCGTCCTTTTGGCCGGTTGGTTGGTTCACTTGAGACTATATATATATATTTTTGGAGAAATTCGAACGAAATTAATTATCTAATAATTAATTATTAATCGCTTATTCTGAGGAATATTCTAAGGATAATCGACTAAAAAAGGAATATTCGAAGGATAATCCCGCTGGGTTTATCTTAACCGAAGGTTTTAATTAAGGAAGTAGTTATCTTCCTTAATTAATCCGACTTATTCCCCAAGCAAGAGGGTATATTCCTAGGGGTTCGGCTCCTATAAATAGCCGCCTCCCCAGCCCCTCTAAACACACCACAACGAGCATAAACACAATAGAGAGAGTGTTCAGAGAACTCGGGTTTTCACACAAAACCCCGAGTATTGAGAGGAGTTGTTTTATCCTGGAGACGACCGGTTGATAGTCCGCCGTGCGCAGCGAGGGCAGTGCCGTGAACGTCTTAAAGAGAGCGACCTAGTCCGCGACTCAGCTCCAGATTCGGTAACCTCGTTCTTGTTGTTGTTCCGTTCTTAACACCTGTGACGCCTCAAGCAAGGCGTGATGATAGCATCAAGAGACACTAATATGAGCAAAGAAGATTGAAGATTGGAAACTTGCATCTCCTATCCATGGATTAGCTAACACACATCGTATTAGCAAACCACGTAAATCTGCATGTTATTTACTTTCATGCGTTGTCGTCGACTTCTAGATCCATTCTAACGTATGAAAAATAGCTCGTCCAACCCACCAATAAAAAACAAACGCTGGATAGAGATTTATTTAATAAATCATATTAAAAATATAGTGAAAGAATACAATTCAACATTTTTGAACGAATCAAGGAAATCCACGGAGCAATAGTTCTTGGTATTACCCCACAAGTTTTTATTCTTTTTTTTATTTCTCGTCTTTGCTCGACCGGTGGATTAATCTAGCTACTTAAACGGTTTGAGCATCTTCCCTACAATTTGTAACCGATGTTACATTGCAAGAATCCGACGACAACACTAAAGAACAAAACATATTATGCACTACGTACAATGCCCAATAGAATTCGAGCTATGTAGCCAATCATATGAATTAAGGGGGGAAAATCAATATCATGCCATAGTGGACATCATCTTGACGAATTCATCGTAGTTGACTTGACCATCGCCGTCCAAGTCCGCCTCCTTAATCATCTGTTCCACTTCTTCGTCGGTCAGCTTCTCTCCTAAGTTGATCATGACATGCCTCAACTGTACACATACGTACGAGATCAATTTATATTAGTCATAACGCATTAATTAATCAAACCAATATTTCATAATTAAACTAAATAGAATAAATGCAATGTATGTCAAAATCTGTGCAGGTAATTAGCTAGCAATGCCTAGAGGGTGATGATCAAAATTGTCAACCCGTGGACCCAATTTGATCCGGAGTCGCCTTCAAAAACGGGCTAAAACAACCTACTAAAGCATGCGTCCGGATTTATTAGTCAAACCCGCCAAATCCAAAGAGTGGGTCAGCGGGCAAGTATCTGTGCCGCTGTGCGGCGCCGTATCCCACTTCGCTCTCCTTCCCATACAATGATCGCTGCTCCCATCTCCTCTTTTTCGCTGTCATTCTTTCCACTACCAAATTTGAAATATTTTTTTTTTTTTAACACAAGTAAAACTTATAAGGAAACTCAAATGAAATTTTTGAATTTATTTGCATACCTTTTGGTATAAATGAATTCCATAAGTTTAGATGAATTTATTTTGAAATGAAACATTTTTGTGTTTGGTATTTAAAAGAATTCATTTTGAATTCTAAATTTTGAATTCTATGGAATTGGAACTAGTTATAGCAATTTCGAGGAATTGAGATGGAATTTTCAAATGAATTCCACAAGTATTTACTAATTATAATAGAATGACATAGTTATCCTCTTTATTAACTAAATTAATTATATATATGACATACCAAACACAGGAATTCATTTGACAATGAATTCTACATGACAATTTATTTTATTTCTAAAGATTTGAATATGACATACCAAACACAAGATTTCATTTGACAATGAATTGAATTCCCGATTCATTTGGTACCAATGAATTGTATTCAGTAATTCATTTTACAATGAAATGAATTCCCGATTCATTTGGTACCAAACGGTCTGTTAAATTGTAATTTTCGTGGGTTTTTTTGCTTAAAATTAAAACAAATAATGGTACTATGTAAATTTGGCTTGTTATATATATGATATTCTTATAATTATTTAAATAAATATTAAAATTAATGAAATATTAACCCTCTTTTCACGCTTTAAATATAAGATTGTTGAAAAGTAAGCGCTCTTACACTCCTGCCGCACGAACTGGTTATCTAAGTCAACCTTTTGCAAGTATTATTGGGAATTAGAGTGGGTTGTATGTAAGTATTGTTGAACTTTTACATGTTGGATTCAAGTACAAGCTATTATCTATATGCTATTATCTATATGTTAGATGAGATTTGATAATTTATATATGTATATATATACAATATAGTTATTTTTTTCATATATCCGAGCTAAATCGGACTAAACCGATAAACCCATTAACTCTTAACTCACTAATTCGAGTGGGCCGACGAACTAAACCGAGTTGACACGATCGAAATACACCATGACATGTCCATCTAATCCAGTTATTAGTTCCAATTTTTACCCCATTACCGAGACAAAAGATATATTTAATTGATAACAAGATTCTCGTTATTATGCACTTAAACCCTTACACAAGAATACGAAAACTATTATTTTTTGGAGGTGTTTTTTAATTATAAATCAACGAGAAAGAAATTAAGTAAATTTTGTAAACGCGTCTCCAGATATATATCGACATCTAGAAAAATAGTTTAACACGTTCTATGAGATGGTTTATCTTAGTTAAAATTTTGGAAAATATATATTATTATTATTGGTACATTGACCCAGCAGCGGAGGGGGACAGGAAAGTCTAATTTGAACAAATTATAATTAATAATCAGAAAACAAAGGAAAGAAGATTCGTACTTACCCGGCCACTATAGCTCCTAGTTAGTAGTTTGTACAATTCAAGAGAGAAATTGGTATCCATTCTTTTGTGGTTTTTCTTTCAAATGATTTTTTTTTTCTTTTCTCGTTATGTTCTGTCAATTGTCAAGGCGGTTAAAATATGGAGTTACTTAGGGGGACTAAAATTAAACTGGTAGGGTACCTCGGTGGCGGAGATGTAGCCATTTTGGTCCTTGTCAAACACTTTGAAGGCCTCTTTTAGTTCCTCCTCTGCATCTGTCTCCTGCAACCAGCGAACGACGTCGTATTCGAAGTATTGATGTTAGCACCGAACGACGTTCCACATCCCGGTTAGTGAAGAGAAGAGAAGAGAAGAGAAGAGAAGGCGGGTTGTTACTGTTTTCCGGCGGTAAACAGTTACGTACCTTGATTTTCTTGGCCATGAGGGTCAAGAACTCCGCGAACTCGATGGTGCCGTTGCCATCGGCGTCGACCTCCGTGATCATGTCGTGAAGCTCTTCCTCCGTCGGGTTTTGATCCAACGACCGGATTACTGTCGCCAGCTCCTCAATCGTAATGCAACCTGCGACACCGTTTCATTCACCTTATATTAACAAACCAATACAAGCCCGCGCGGCCAGGCCAATAGAATGGAGAAGAGAGAAGAAGAATACGTACCGTCTCCGTCCTTGTCGAAGAGGCAGAAGGCTTCTTTGAACTCGACAATCTGTTCGTCGGTTAGACCGTCCGCCATTGTTGTAGACATCATTGTAAGCAAGCTAGCTGTGCACAGTTGTCTTTCTTGGGGGAAGAAACTGAAGAAATGGGGAAACAAACGGAAGAGAGAGAGAGAGAGTATAGCTTGCTCAGGCTTAGGTGGGATGAGGGGTTTATGTAATGTAGGTTTTTCGATGCGTGGTATGCTGCATTATTTTCAATTCTTGTTGATATTAATTAATGAGTCAAATAGACTTTTATATAATAGAGATATACGACTGAGACTGGGATCGACCTTAAGGTAAATGGTCATGTTTCTACATGGACAAAGTAGCAAGTTTAATTAACTTAAGTTACACCGCTCGTTTTCTCTTCCTTTTTCTCGATCTGTTCAAATTTATCTATGGACTCTCACTCACCCAACACCACCCCATTTTTTCATCTCCTTAGTCCTTAATCGCTTCCCCGCTTTTTCAGTTAAAATAATCTGGTGCTACTTGTTAATAACATTATATAATTCTTTTTTTTTATAATGGCGATGGTATTTAAATAAAAACCAAAGAAACAAAAGAGGTCCAGAATATTACAAAGGAGGGATCAACAGGATTGACCCACAAGAGTAAACAAAAGTTGGAAGAAAACGAAGCACAAAAAATTGGAGGAAGACGGACCAGACCGACTCTGCTCCTCTACTACCAACAAAGGAAAATACAGAATGTGCATTCGGCAAGAGGCCACAAAGCGGCTCGCAAAAGAGGAGAGGCGAACGCCGTGGGGCTCCAAAAAATCAACACTGAAAAGATCTCGGTACCAGAGGAGCCCCAAGAATGCGCATTCAGCAACAGGCCACTAAGACTTAACTGTCTTCACAGCCCCAAGATTGTCCATGGACAGGAGAAAAACCCAGAAGAAACGATCCCCGTCTCCACCCGTTAGCGACATCCTCGTCATCAATTTCCTTCCAGGACCATTCTAATCCAACTCTCACCCTGTGTGCTATCGATTTTCCCATGAATTACTATCCATTCCATTGCACTTCCGGCCGCTCTTTTTGCTATTGCAATTGCAAACGAGGTTTTCTCATCGAAAGCCCTTTGATTTCTTTTCTTCCAGACGAGCCGCCATACCGAGTGCAAGATACAGTCTTTGAACCACTCTTCAACACTGTCCAGCTTACTAATTGATTCTTGATGATAGCTGGTATATCAGAACCCTGCAGGACCAGAATAGTTCTGTGATGGTTTAATATTTGCCAAACTTCTTTTACGAACTTGCATTCCTTGAGCAAATGAGCAGCTGTCTCCTCGTTGCTGTAGCAGAGATAACATCTATTCACCATCGACCAGCCTCTTTTCTTCAGGTTGTCTATCATTAGAATTTTGTTCTCATAGACAAGCCACATAAAAAAGCATATTTGCTTGGAATTACTGACTTCCAGATATGTCTATGAGGAAATTCTTGATGTGCTTGGAAGGCTTCATTCACCGTCATCTTATACAGAGATCTCACCGAAAACCTGCCATTAGAATTATGATTCCATACAACTCTACAAGGGCTGAAAACATTGTTAGTAAATCTAGCATTTTCAAGAAACTCCATAAGTTCCAATCTCTCTCTCTCTCTCTCTCGGCACCCCCACTTAAATTAAATCTAAAAGGAATGTACCAACTCACCTGATGAGGGTTGTTAAGGAGTGCAGCGGCGGCTAGGCTCGCGTCAGGGACAGCGGCGGCAACAGCAACACGGGGGAACGATTTAGACAGTATCATCCTTGGTGTCCAGCAGTAGTGCCAGAACGAGATAGAAGATCCATTTCTAGGATCTAGACTGGCAAAGTTCCAAAAAGATCGTACTCCTTGGATATGTTTGCCCAAATCGATTGAGAGAACCCCTATCTCACTCTCTCGGTCTGCCACACCGATTCGGGATGTTGATACTTGATAGCAATTAACTGACGCCACCAGCTTTCTCTTTCAGTCGCATATCTCCACAACCACTTAGATAACATCGCATCATTGAAAGCCTCTAGGTCATGTATACCAAGTCCTCCCTTTTTTGTCTCACATTTGCAGAGATTCCAGTCCACCAAGGCCATTTTCTTAGACTCTCGCTTACCATTCCACAGAAACTTCTTCTGTACTTTTCCATATCCTTGATGATCGAGGCGGGTGCCTTAAACAGCGAGAACACATAAGTCGGCATGCTGGAAAGAACTGCTTTGCACAGCACTAATCTTGCCCCCGACGACAGGAGCTTGCTCCCCCACCCGTTTAATTTATTCTGAAATTTGTCAAGAAAAGAATCCCAAATCCTTGGATCATTTGGCTTGGCTCCTAACGGGAAACCCAGGTATTTGAGAGGTTCACTACTCCATTTACAACCAAATATAGCAGCAAAGAAACTGAGATCGGCCACATCACCAATTGTGTACATCACGGACTTGTCAAGATTAATTCTCAAACCAGTTACGGTTTGAAAAAACACTATTGTAGCTAAAACTATGAGGACCTGATCATGATGAGCATCGCAGAAAATAAGATTGTCGTCTGCAAAAAAAAGATGAGTTACCTCGCCGCTTTTCGTTTCTTCGTTGAAGTAGAAGCCTTCGAACTTCATTACTGCCCTGGCAGATCTCAGCATCCATGACAGAATGTCCATAATCAGCACAAACAGTTCGGGGGACAAAGGGTCTCCTTGACGGAGTCCTTTCGAAGCTTTAAAATAGCCCTTTTCTTCACCATTTACAAGCACAGACACAACCGGAGAACACATTGTGACTTTAATCCAGCTGATCCATTTGTTAGGAAAGCCAAGAACCTTTAGAGTTTTAAACATACACTCCCATTTCACATTATCGAAGGCCTTCATCTATATCTTCCTTTTTCTCGACTGTATTGCCATTGATATTCAGTTTGCTGAGGTAATTCACCCTTCTTCTGAAATTGGCCATCTTATGGAAATATCCGTATTCTTTTCGCCTAATTTAACCCAGATCTCTCTTGATTTTTGTCTCTAACACATTTCTTGGAGATAGAGGTTTCTGCTGAGATTAAGGGCCCAACCAGTTTTGCTATTTTCCTCTTCACTTGTTAGAAGCATTTCCTCCTCAACCCTTTCCAGTTCCTTTAAATTAGCAAGGTGATCTTCAACCTTCTTATCTATATTGCCGAATACTTCTTTATTCCAAACTTTGGATTTGGATTTGATGAGAGATAATCTTCTGGCTAATATAAAAGCTCCTCCCCTCCCTTGAACCCTTTCAAACATCCATCTATTCAATTCCTCAAAGTACTTGTTGTCCTCCATCCACATGTTTTGGAATCTCCATGGTCACCTAATCCTCTTCTCCTCACCCCATCTTAATACAAGGAGATTGTGATCAGATTTCACTCTGTTCATTGCAGTTAAAGTACAATCAGGGTACAAAGTATCGAAATCCTGAGAAATCAGAACCCTGTCAATGCGAGACATGGAATCTCGATTTGTCCCATGACTCCAAGTAAATTTACCGCCACACAAGGGTAGTTCAAGAAACCCATTCTAATCAATAAAGGAGTTGATTTCGTTCATAATCACCGAGTTTCTTCCCCCCCCCCCCCCCCCCCCCCCATGTAGTCTTCATGACTTCTTATCAGATTAAAATCGCCAGCTAAACACACCGCACCCTGATGTTGAGAGCAGAAATCATTGAGCTCAGATAAGAAAACCAGCTTCTCATTCCGCTCTTGTGGCCCATACATGAATACAATCTGCCATGATTTAGACGATAAGTTTTCCAATAATTCCACAGCGAGGAAATGAGTACCTTCCATATATGAGAGTTTTGTGAAGAAAGCTTTGTCCCAGAAAGCAGCAATACCCCCTAAGCTCCCAATAGCGTCTTTGGCCACCCAATCAAACTCCCTCCTTGAGCATAAGCTACCAATAATAGCTTCATTACACTCAGCCTACTTGGTTTTCATGAGACCAACAATTTTTGGGTTGTGAATACCGATCAACCACTTGATTCTACTTCTCTTTCCCGGGTCTCCAAGACCCCTAACGTTGCAAATGCATACTTTGGTATCCATCTAATGCTGACCAGAAAAGTATCAAACTCTTCCTTGGGCCCTTTGGGGGAGAAACAGTAGGTCCTACGCGCAAAGTTTCCATTTCCAGTCACAACCACGCACTTCTGATCTTCCTCTGAGGTAATTCCTGTGTTGTTTGAGATAAATGTTGTTCACTATGATCGGGCCCGTCAACGTGATCAAGATCCAGGATTCCCCCCATCGCAATACAAGCTTGCACCAGACTTTCCTTATTGAAGGGAAAAGCATTGGTATCCCAATCTCTGTTACTACCGAATGAAACGCAGGATGGTGAGGGGAGTTCTTCAGGCGCCACCACAGAAAGCTGTAAACCTTCTCTCGGAGATCGCGGGGTTTCTTGGACGCAGAAATTTTCACCCGCCGATTCTTATATATAGAGAATGCCAAAAGGCAGTAATTTTGTTGCGTTCGCCAGATGATACATAGCTATTGTATGTATGTATATGTATGCATATATATATATATATGAAATGACTAGGTTAGTGGAAGTTGTATTGGAAAAGACCGCGATAAGTTATTTTATGTTGAAAATGTGGTTTAATTATAGTTCAACCACCATTCCATACAACTAAATATTTCCTAAAGGTTTAGCCTGTGGTATGAGGTTTTTGTGGTCAAATAATTGTTGGTACGGTACAATTTTTCAATCCTTAATTGGTTATAAGTTTGGTCCTAGATTATGATTGATTCGGTCTAATCTGATCCGACCTTGAGGGTTGGGTTAGATCAGTTTGTCTATATGGCTGGTTGGGTCATATATATCTTTTGGTCCTGTAAGGTCGGATAGAGTCCAGTCAATTTAGCGTTATGTCACTTTTTGGCCCTATGATACATAGCAACAATTGGTGATTTGAAATTTCTTATACCAACATATTGGACCCATTTGTAAAGTTTTAAAAGTTCAGTTATTGTACGGCAACTAAAAAATATAAAAGTACTAAAATTTGACATGATATGTAGT